GGTTTTAGTCTGGGAAGATTCTTGCTGGAGGTTGTAGCTAATAAACATAACTGGACTGAATTTGCACTGTCTCTTGGAGTTCCTTGGGCTAGGCCTGACAGATGTCCATCCTCCCAGTCTCCCCGGATTACAGTTCCCATCATTTTCAGCTGGCCTGGCCTTTGTCATGCAAGTTGTACATCTGGAGGGCATGAGGTGGGGGAAGACTTTGCAACCATTTATGCTTTTGCAATGCGTTATCCTCATGACCATTTATTATTAATGTATTGCCTTTTTGTCCCACTACTTCAAGCGGGGGATCTCCCCTCATTTTATCCTCCCAACCACAACCCTGTTAGGTAGGCTGGGCTGATCAGGAACCATTGGTTCCAAGTTAATCAGGGAATTCCATGGTGAAGCTGGATCTCCCTGATCCGGGGTGGGGTGGGGGGCATCTACCCCCAATTTCATTTTTTACAGCTGTTTGGAGCCTTGGTAAGATTGCACTGTCAAAATTAAGCAGGGAGTCATCTTGCAGCGCCCAAAGTCCCCCTCATTTGGGGCAGGAAAGAACGTGAAACTGTTGTGTTACGCCCCAAATATGCTTCCACGTATCTAAGAAAGGTTTAAGCAAGAAAGACGGGGAGGGAAGACCCAAATCCCTCCCTTCTCCTTCTAGTGGACTCCAACGGATCTGCATGCTTTATTTTTTTTATAAATCACAAGTTCATTTCTTTTCATTTTTACACAAAAAGTCCATAAGGGGCTTCCAGTCACCAATCCGTGTAGATATTGCCCTTTCTCTAATCAGAGAAGTCAGTTTGGCCATCTCAGCCAGTTCTGTCAATGTCACCAACCATTCCTCCGTAGTGGGAAGTGCTGAATCTTTCCAGCTTTGTGCTTCTAACTGCTCATCCAACAGATCTGCGTACTTTCCAAGCAGACCCTCCCTGGGGTTTTTTTGGTTAACAGAGCATCTCCCCCTTCCCTTCCCCTCGTCACCCTCCTTCCCCTGTTTCCACCCCACCCTCCCCTGCTTTTTCTCAGGAGCTTGTTTTGGAGCCTGTGATGAAGCGGGCAAAGTATGAGAACATCCGGCACACAAATATGCTCAAGCAAGTCAACCACCATCACAACACTGTCTTGAAGCAGTGGCGGGCTCTGGGACGCTTGTTGACTTCTCAGCGCTCCGCGTGGGCTGATCGGTAGGTGTCGGTCTCCCTTCCACGCCCGTGGCCGTCTCATCTTTAAGGAACCATGCTGTCAGATGCCCCTGAAAGGGAAGGGAGGAGGCAGGAGTCTCATTGTTTTAGCTCCTGAAAGGATTTACAGGTAGTCCTCACTTAACAACCACAACAGAGACCGGAAAATTGGTTGTTAAGCGAGTCACCATGTGGCTGGACCTGATTTTACGACCATTTTACGATGGTCGTAAAGTGAATCACCATGGTTAAACGAAGCACATGGTCGTTAAGTGAATCACATGGTCATTGAGTGAATCACATGGTCGTTAAGTGAATCCAGCTTCCCCAATGGATTTTTTTGCCATGATTCGCTTAACGACCATTGTAAAAAAGGTTGCAAATCACAATCATGTGATCATGGGGGGGCGCAAAGGTTTGTGACAATCGTAAATGCAAGTACAGGCCGTCAAGCAATTTTTCTAAGGCCATCGTAACTTCAAACCATTGTTAAACGAACAGTTGTTAAGTGAGGACTACTGTATTCTCATTTTTTGGAGGCATTTCTATTTCTATTTATTTATTTATTTAAATGTATTGGCTGCCCAACTCCAGTGGACGCTATTTTGGAACTTTCTTTTGGCGAATCCTGCATAGACAGGGCATAGCACTCAGCTTTTCTGAAAACCTTTTAAAAAGTTGTAAAATAGGCACAATCTAAACCTTTTTCGTTCTTTCCTTTTAATTAGTGAAGTTAAACCCCCGCAGAGTGATAATACAGTAACAAGCGATGCATGTTACAGTGATTAAAATAAACTGAACATTAGGGGAAAGGAGCTAAGGAAAAAAGAAAAAAATAGATCGGTGAAGTATTATTATAACTCAGTCCTTAAACTTATTATTAAATTTAGCCCATGTAGAAGCCTGCTGCTCCATCTTCTCATTCTTTGAATATAGACATTTCAGAAATGTTTTGACATTATCTCAGCTTACCTGCGTGTGAAAATTTAAAACGGAATCTGTCCAGGAAAACAGCATTTATGAATACAAAATATGAAAACAAATGAAGTCCTTCAGAATATATTGAAAAAAACGTACGAAAATGTTGAGGGTCGGCTCATCCAGGGAGGCACATTTCTCATGGTATTTTGGTTAAAAATTTGCAGGTTGGCTTATCCGCAGATGGGCTTATCCGCAAGTCTGTATGGTAATATAAAATGCAGAAATGCAGTCTCCTTTTCCCCAGTAACTAATCTCCATTTCTTTTGGAAATGCAAATCTGAGAGAAAGCAGGAACGGAGAAACCAAGTTAAAAGGAACCAGAGAGGAATTTCCAGACTGTGAAAAAGAATTAAGCACCCCAAAGCCATTGGCCAATAAAACACATCCCGGACCATTTCTTCATTTTTCTTTGTCCTTGGAAATATACCAAAATAGTCACTCCCGGCTAAGGAGCTTCCCACTCCAAAAGCAGAGGTGGGTTGATGAGTTTGCAATCATGCCTCTGACTTTTCAGCCCCAAAGCGCAGGTTATGGGTTAAACATCTCCTTGGGATGCAAAGTTCCCAGGCCCTGTGCGCTGAGAGAATGTTAGTTAGCTGACAATGGGGGAAAATGGTATTTCCTCTGCCTAAAAGCATCACGATGCACTGCCTGTGAGAACCGATGGTTCTGCCAGAGATGCACCAATAGTGGGGCTCTTCTGAAGGGGCCTTCATGCAAACCTTCAATGAGTTTGGCGTGCTTTTCCTGCAAAGAGAGCTCTGACTCACTGTGATGGAGTGGAATTATGAAGGCCAGGCTCAGGGAGATAAACATTTTCTTAGCTCACCAGAACAGCATGGGAAGAACAAGAGGATGAGATTGGCACCTCCCTGACGAATTTCCACTGTTGTGACTGGCTGACTTTGGGAACTGGGGTTTCAGTCTGGGAAGATTCTTGTTAGAGGTTGTAGCTAATAAACATAGCTGGACTGAATTTACGTGGTCTCTTGGAGTTCCTTGGGCTAGGCCTTGACACTCACCAGCTTCCTTGCCTCTGCCCAGGAACCCTCCTGAGATCCACTGGAAGCTGTCTAACGTGGAGACCTACTCCCGAATGAGGCTCAAGCTGGTTCCCAATCACAACTTTGACCGCCATGGGGAAGCGAGCGCCCTCCGGGACAACCTCGGTAAGAAGGGGTTGTGAGAGCTGAGTGGTCCTTTGGCATCTGCAGGTTGAAACCATCGCTGATACAGAGCACCTGGTTCATTCTGGGGTGGACTTGATGGGAAGCAGGCAGTTTCTCACCTGGCCAGTGACAGAAACCCCAAAGGGACACCTCACCATCAGATTTCTCCCAAGAAACAAATCTCCAAGCCATTAAGTTGCAGGTCTTCGGGGTGAAATTGGCTCTCTGTGCCAGCGTGATGCCCCCAAGGAGAGGAAGGGTTAGGGTTACATTAGTGTGGAGGAGGAATGAGAACAAGAACCAAGTTTTGCTGTACCGGCAGAAACATCACTAGAAGGTGGTAAGGTTCAATGAAGGAGGTGGCCACTTTCCCAACCAGGTGCCCTCCAGGTATTTTGGAAGTACAGCTCCCATCATCCCCATCACATTCGTTGCCTGCATGGGAGCCAGAAAAACTTGGGTACAGCCAAGGGCATCCTTCTTAGGCTAAGAAGGACCAACAGCTGTTGATGGCCAATTCCTTGCTTAAATAAGGAGAATAAGAGCAAAACAGGAAACGAGCCAATTTAACAATTCCATCCCACTTCCTTCCAGGCGCTGATGGCTTGCACAACCCAACAGAATCCCTGCCTTTAGCAGTTGCCAAGGAAGCCAAGGTCAGCGAGATGCAGGATGATCAACTGGGAGAAGAAGATCTCTCATTCTTGGATAATCAGTGAGTTTTGTCATGCCCCCAGGAAGGTGTCTTCTCTTGGGACCACCAAGGTGCTAAGAAAGCGGAGAAGCAGTTGCTGATTATCAGCTGCTCCAAAAACAGGAATGTGGGGCAATGCTTTGGAAGCTGGTGGCTTTCCTTAGCGTTTTTTGGAAAGGTGAGAGTTGCAGTAGGCAGAGGTAGGAGGCAAAGTGGGTGTGGCCATATCACTCACATGGATGGGGCCAAACATTTCTATTTTCTCCTAAAGTAGAGGAACACATAGGTGACCTTGGAGACTATTAGCAAAACAAGAATTCAGATCATGGGCAAAATGTGCATCCAGTCTGGGAAAACAAGACAGTGTGAGAAAGAAGCTCAGGATTACCCCACCTTGACTCTATTTGGTATAAGAAGGAAGAAAGGGGAAACACTGTCAAACTTTCAGTGTTGTCACACCTTCAAGGTAGGCTAGGCCAGAAAACAGACACTACAAGAAATCCTAGAACTCTACTCTACTGATATACTCTAATAAATATAGGGAGTCCTCGTTTAGCGACCACAATTGGGGCCAGCAACTCAGTTGTTAAGTGAAGTGGTTACTAAGTGAAACTGTGACTGTGCTTACGATCTTCCTTCAGCTTTCCTTTGCTTTACAGACCTGTAAATGCAAGGATTGGTCGCAAAGTTACTTTTTCATTACTACTGTCATAACTGTGAATGGTCGCTAAATGAGTCAGTCGCTAAGCTTGAAACTCTGACAATGTTTCTCCTTCCCTCCCTCTTATACCAAAGAAAATCAAGGCAGGGTAATCTTGAGCTTCTTTTTCATACTTTTCTGTCTTCCCAGGCTGAGTTCACATTTTACTGACAGTCTCTAAATCTTCTCCAAGGTCCTCTTTGGGTTCTTCTCCACCTAGCTGTCACATGGGTCTTCATTTTTTAACCCTCCCCAGTCCACTTTAGACTTCACAGTTTTCCAATCTTTCTTGGCTCAGAAGGGTAGGAAACTGGCAGGTTCTGGCGGTGATTGGTGGCAACTCTGAGGTTGCAGAAGCTATAGGCCTGGTTCAAACTTTCGGTGTCTTTCAGCCTAGAGCCCAAAGAGCAAAGCCAGCGGGAGAAGCTCCTCATCTCAGAGGACTGTGAGCTCATCACCATTGTGGCTGTGATCCCGGGACGCCTGGAGGTCACCACCCAGCAGATCTATTTTTACGACAGCAGCAGTGAGAAGGAGGAGACCGAGGATGGTAAGAGGATGTAATGGTCTGTGGGAATGCCCTTGGGAGACAGGAGGGAGAGCCACAGGTGGGACAACCAGCATGTAAAAGACGTCTCAGCCCACAGAAGGAAAAGGGGTGCGGGAAGCATTTCAGAAGAGACCCTCCCTAGCTTTCCAGAGAGTAAAAGGAAAGGAGGGGAGAAATGCTTTCAGTCTTGCAAGACTCTGTTAATGTAACCTTACAATAAAGATAGAGCTAGGACAAATGGCTGGGTTGTATCTTCATTGCTCTGGAGAAAGATGTTGAGAGATGTGTTTTTCCTGTCATCTCGTCTCAGCTCCGCAGTTCTGAGTTCATATACAACCTAGCCTTTAGTGTCAAAACAAATGGAAAAGAAGGTTTCATCTGTGTCAGTCCAAAGCTCTGCAGGGAGGTGGGATGGAGGAATTGCAAGACGTTTTCTCCTTGAATTGGTCCTGTGCATGAGATCCAGTGTGTCCAGTCCCAAACAACAGCCCCCAACTGGGGAAGCAAGATTCACTCACAGTTTCATCACTTGGGTTTAATGCCAGGAAGAATAGAGGTCAGGAAACAGAATCTTGAGAAAGTGAATACAGGTAGTCCTCAACTTACGACCATTCGTTTAACGACTGTTCAAAGTTACAATAGCCCTGAGAAAAGTGACTTATGACTGTTCCTTGCACTTACGACCATCGCAGCATCCCCATGGTCACATGATTCAAATTCAGACACTTGGCAACCGGCATGTATTCACAACGGTTGCAGCGTCCTGGGGTCACATGATCGCCATTTGTGACCTTCCCGGGGGCTCCCGACAAGCCAAGTCAATGGAGGAAGCCAGATTTGCTTAATGATCATGGCAAAAAGGTCACAAAATCAGGTGTGACTCACTTAATGACCACATCGCTTAGCAATTGAAGTTCCGGTCCCAATTGTGGTCATAAATCGAGGACTACCTATAAGCAAAACTCTCACCCTTGTCTGTTAGTGGATGCCTTAAATCAGGATCTCTGAATTGTCTGAACCTCTGTTCTTCCAAATTGCTTAATGGAAGACCTAAGGGCTCTTTTACCAGATGAGGCTGAGATGTCCAACTGATGATGTTCTGAAATGCTCCCTTTTTTTTTTCTCCGCCTCTCAGAGTTCTCTTACACACCATGGTCTAGGGCTGAAGGTATTGGACTAAGATCAGGGAAACCCAAGTTTACGTTACAGGTAGTCCTCATTTAGCGACTGCTTCATTCAGTGCCCATTCACAGTTACCCCAGTGATGAAAAACTATGCAACCCATCCTCACATTTATGACCTTTGCAGGTCTGTAAAGCAAAGGAAAGCTGAAGTCAGATCATCAGCACAGTTGCGGTTTCACTGAGCGACTGCTTCGCTTAACAACTGAGTTGCCAGTCCCAATTGTGGTCGCTAAATGAGGACTGCCTTTATTTATTTATTGAAAGGATTTATACGAGCACCCAACTCAAAGATGGCGACTCTAGGTGGGGTTGAAGCCCATCCTTATCCATGGAAGCTCCCTGGGTGCCTTTGGGCCAGTGACTCACCCTCAGCCCAACCCACCTCACGGGGTTGTGTTGTTGGCGGAAAAAATAATTACAGGAGACCCTGGGTTATATGGTATGGGAACCATTAAAGCAATGACTTCCCCAGTGTCCCTCAATGCAGAGTTCAAGACTCTGGATGATGGTCTCTTCCTCCTTCTTTTGGGTCCCTGCGAAATGAATGAATGGTCTTCTGCTCCCTCTCCTAGGAATCGGGCACGACTTCAGGCGCCCCCTCTCTCAGCTGCGGGAGCTGCACCTTCGCCGTTACAACCTGCGACGTTCAGGCCTGGAGTTCTTCTTCATCGACCAGTCAAACTATTTCCTCAACTTCAAGAAAATGGTAACCGGCTGCTCCTCCCCTCGTGAAATGGGCATGGGCGAGCATGTGACTTGGGGCAGGCACCATCTTGGAAGTTGTTTGCTGAATGCCCTCTAACCCACTGCTGGCTTCCTTCCACCTTCCCAGGTTAGGAACAAGGTCTACTCATCCATTCTCAGCCTGCAGCTTCCCAACCAGATTTATCTAGGCAGCCGTTCACCGCAGGACCTCCTAAAAGCCTCTGGACTGACTCAGGTACCTTATTTTCAAGGACAAGCAAGTGGGATCCCTCCTCGCTTGGCTGGACCATCTCTTGCCTCTGCCTGTCGTTCCCATTCTGGAAGAGCAGAAGATCGCTTCTGATCTGGAAGCCATTGGATTGCCCCATTTATTCATTCCATCCTGTTATAATCCTACCTTTCTCGACCTGGAATGGAAGACGTAGACTTGGAGCATTCCTCAGGCCCAAGATGCTGCAAGAGAATCCAAATGTTTTGCTCTGAATGTGTTGCCGTTCCACCAAAAATGGGATGGGGGGAGTATTAAGCTAGCCCACCTCTGAGCCTTTCTGTAGGGCAGGGAAGCTGTTTAAATCCAGAGGGAACTTTCTGCCCTTCTGCTCCTTCGAGTCAAAGTGCCAGCAGAGGCAAAACTGAACCTAAATCTAAACACTTGCAAAGGAAAGAGAACTACAGGTAGTCCTCACTTAATAACCATTCATTTAGTGACTGTTCGAAGTTACAACGGTGCTGAACAAAGGGACTTACAACCATCGCATCACCCCCATGGTCACATGGTCATGATCTGGGCACTTGGCAACCAGCTCACACAACCATTGCAGCATCCATTGCAGGATCATGTGATCGCCATTTGCAACCTTCCCAGCCGGCTTCTGGCAAGCAAAATCAATGGGGAACTGCTTGATTCGCTTAACAACCGCATGATTTCCTTAATGGCCATGGGGATTCGCTTAATGACTGCTGCAAAAAAGGTGGTAAAGTTGAGCATGACTCATTTAACAACCACCACACTTAATGAATTTTCCAGTCCCTTTTGTGGTCGTTAAGCGAGGACTTCCTGTAAAAGTAATTCCTCTAAGAAAGGATAGGGCAGGGATTTTCAAATGTCTCCAGGCTGCAGAACCTGTTAGTTAAAATCTCCTGGAGCCCACATCAAGAGGTGAAGCTCCAGTGATAGAAACGTGGCTGCATTAGAGTGAATTTTGTTGTGGTGGTTCTTTGCCTCTCGTGGAACCCCAGCCTTTCACCGAGCACATTTTGAAAAGCCTGATATGGAAGACATTTCCTCCATAGGTGACTTAGCCATAGGAGGATGTGATTTGATTCTCCCTCTTTCATCTCTTGAGCCTTCAATTTTCCTTTCTCTGGGCATTTGGCAAGATAGGCAGTTGGCAGATTCCAAGATTGAAAAGTCCCTGTGGTCCTTCTCTCCCTTTGTAATGGTATGAAAGAAAGACCTTGAGAAACAGGGCGAAGAGATGCTGCCTAGGGAACAGTCCAATAAGAGAGGGCACAGCCCGCAGCTGCATAACGGACAAAGAAAGAGGCTCAGAAAGGAATCTCCCTAGTTTCTCAAGCTATAAAGGAGACGGTGGGAGAATTGTACTTTCAGTCTTGCACGATTCTGTTAATGTAGCCTTACAATAAAGTAGAATTAACTCATGTGGTCATGCTTCCTGACTGGTCTACCTGGGAAGGTTGACATCAATCTTGCAAGTCTGAAAGTACAAATCTCCCGCCATCTCCTTTACAGCCTGAGAAGTTAGGGAGGGTCCCTGCTAAGCCTCTTTCTCTGCCCATTATGCAGCTGCGGGCTATGCCTTCTCTTATCTGACTATTCTCTAGGCAGCATCCCTTCACTCTGCTTCTCAAGATCTTTCTCAAATAGCATTACGCCCCTCCCCAGCTTTTCCCTGTTCTCATCTCCCAGTGTTTTATCCCAGTGGATCCCATTTCCTTTCCTCCTTCATTTCCAGAAATGGGTGTACAGGGAGATCTCCAATTTTGAATATCTCATGCAGCTGAACACGATTGCAGGGCGCACCTACAATGACCTTTCTCAATACCCCGTGGTAAGACTCTGGGATAAGCAGGGTGCAGGCATGGGGAGGGGTGTCCCTGAGCCTCCAGCATCAATTCCACTGCTGTCTCCTGCTGCAGCCCAAGGATGGGCCTCAGGCAACTTTTCTCTTCCTCCCTCTGGTTCAGTTTCCCTGGATCCTGCAAGATTACGTCTCAGAGACACTGGATCTCAACAACCCAGCCATTTTCCGGGATCTTTCCAAGCCCATCGGAGTAGCCAATGAGAAACATGCCAAGGATGTCAAGGAGAAGTGAGTGCAAGGTTTCTTAGCAAGCATTTCCTTTCTGCCAGAAGCAGAAAATAGGAAGGGGGGAAGCCTTTTCAGGAGAAGCTCATTCTTTAAACTGCATTTTTTGGCCTTCCAATCTGGAGCCCTGCAGCTGCCCTGCACTTCAGTTCCCAGAATCCCTAGCCATTGGAATTCTCGGAAGGGATTCTGGGAGCTGAAGGCCAACTCACCCAGCTGCAAGCTGCCGAAAGTTGACCTACAAGAACTTCCATGTGAAAGTTATGCATCTCACCGCAGATGCGTAAAAAGAGAACTTCAGTGCACCCTTGACAAAGGAGTTTTCCAAAATGCATGCGATGGAATAAAGTTGGGGTAGCCCATGGAGGTCTCCCTCTTGGAAGCACCACAGCCCACAGAAAAGCTGGACCACCACCCCCAGCCTTAGTGCGGACATGCACACAGAGCAGAACTGTGCTCTACTAAGTTGTCCTCAGATTTGTAAAAGTTCTCTCTGGATGGGCAGCTCTTATCTGCAGCTTTTGATCTGAAACTCCTTCAGGTTGGTGCCTGCTGGCCTTGGGAATGCTGTTTCCCAGTCCGTTGGGCAGTTGCTAGACTTGATCTTGGCGAAAGTGAGTTGTGTCTCCGTTGGGTGGGCCTTTGGGCTTCGTTCCACCTCTAATGCGGAATCAACAAATGGATTTGGGATCAAGCCTCAAAGTTGATCAAGAAGTCCAGCTGACTCCATGTCAGCCTCTCCTGATCTTGCTGTGTTCCAGGTACGAGAGCTTTGAGGACCCCACGGGCATGACTGACAAATTCCACTACGGCACTCACTACTCCAACGCAGCCGGAGTCATGCACTACCTGATCCGCACAGAGCCTTTCACCACCCTGCATATCCAGCTACAAAGTGGGAGGTGAGCAGGAGCACGACCCCAGACCACTGATTCTTACTTTGGTAGCGTCCTCATTTCGTTCCAAACACTGAGAAGGTCCAGATTGGTTCACTTCCTCTCCTTCCTCCTACAAAGCTGCAGGAGACCCCTTAATACATCTCATGCGGTTCTGTGCTGATCAAGGCACCTCTGAAGGTTCTCCACCGCTTGATTTAGCCTTGTAGCTTGATTACCGACATGGCTCCCATCTCCATCTGGCCCTGAGGACGAGTTCTTGAGACGGTGCACAATTTCAGCTACCTGTAATAAAGGCGTTGCTTCTGCACAGGTTTACTCTTCAGGGTCAAATCCAATTTTTCCCACATCTGGTGGGATGGTTTTATAGGGGGCAGGGCATGGGGGCACTAAGGTCAGCCTAGAGCAGAGACAGCAGGATTGTGATGGAATGGAATTACGAAGGCCAGACTCAGGGAGATAAGCATTTTCTTAGCTCACTGGAACCGCGTGGGAGGAACAAGAGGATGAGGCTGG